CTCTTCTGTTTCGCTCCTTGAGCAATAATAAAACTGTCAGTTGGTTGGCTTCCCAGACTCCATCCCAAATCAACGTTTCCCCTGGTCCACCATCCTCTCCATCCCCAACTCCTCTTCCCGCTGGCCGGCAGTAACTCCCCTACCTTCGACTAGGCAGAACTCCAGAGGCTGGAAGCAGAGTCCTGGTCCTGGAGATTACTTTCAGGACTTCTCAGAAAAAAAGTGTTCGGCCAGGGGAGACTGGACCCCCCCTTCCTCCCCCCTCTTCGTTGGTCCCTCCCATGTTCCCTAGAGCCCTCCCACATTCCGCTTTCTCCCTCCATTCCGGCCAGGCCAGCTCCCTCCTCTAGATCTTCCCCTCCCCTGTGGAGCTGGCTGCAACCACGCCACCCCCTCCCACTCCTCCTGGCTCAATGAAGCTTTCTTTTCCCCGCAGGTTGGAGGCCGGGCAGGCGCGTTCAGGATGCGGGACTTGCAAACGATTTCGGGACAGCAGGACGGCCCCTGTGGCAGCAGGAAGCTTTCCAGCCCGTAGCCGTTCCTCCACATCCCGGCTAGACAGAGGATCAGCAGTCCAGACCAATTCCAGGGCTGGGCCATGGGAACAGGTCCCAAAAAGAAAACTAATGTCCTGAGAGCCTCCTTGGTCATTATGGCGCCCCAGAGGTGCCTGCAGGTGATGTCACGGCCTTCACTCTGATGTCACGTTAAACATATGTCGTCACTCTCAGCTTCCACCCCCAGGCACTAGGGCCCCGGGTTGGTGATCACGGCTTCCCTGAGTGGTGCCACTGTGTGTGCGGTAAGATAAAGGCTTTAGTTAGCTCTTCCAGAGCTCTTCCTGACGGCTCGTTTTCCTCTATCCCTCTCCGCCCCCCACCACCGCCGCAGGGGCCCGGGAGGGGCAGGCACGCCTCCGGCACCCTGCAGCCCCGCCCTGCCCCGCCCCCAGCCCTTGGGGCCAGGAAGCGCGGAAGGAATCGCCTGGGCCATGGACGGGGCTGTGATGGAGGGTCCGCTTTTTCTGCAGAGTCAGCGCTTCGGGACCAAGGTAGTTTGTTTGTGGCGTGGAGGGGGGCAGGGGACGGCGAAACCCCTCTGGACTAGAAGTGGGTGAAAGAATCCAGAAAGAGGGAAGGGGCCGGAAGAAGGTCGGAACGGCGAGCGGGCAATTGTAGAGCCCCAAGACGTTCCCTTAAAAGTCTCGGACTGTGCCCTCCTTGGTGCGAAGTTGGAATGGCATTATCGTTGGGAAAGTAGCCCAGCCTGGGAAGCCCCAGACTCAGATCGGCCTGCGTGGGTCTCTTCTTCCTTGTTGGGCGCGTGCTACCGCGCACTCCCAAGTCTTTCGTTCTTTCCCAGAGGTGGAGGAAAACTTGGGCTGTGCTTTATCCAGCCAGTCCTCACGGCGTAGCGCGGCTGGAATTCTTTGATCACAAGGGGTCGAGCTCTGGAGGGGGTCGAGGAGGCTCTCGGCGTCTAGACTGCAAGATGATACGCCTGGCTGAATGTGTGAGCGTGGTGCCTGTGACTGTGGAGAGTCCCCCTGAGCCCGGCGCTGCTGCCTTCCGCCTGGACACCGCGCAGCGCTCGCACCTGCTGGCGGCGGACGCTGCATCCAGCACTGCCTGGGTGCAGACTTTATGCAGAACCGCCTTTCCGGTGAGTGACTAGGGGTGGGCGTCTCTGGGCTTAAGGGGCACTACGAGAATGGGAGCTATTATAGCGGCACTGGACTTCTTGCACCTACCCTAGACCCAAGAGAATTATATACATATGGTCCTCGATGTTCCTTTTTCTGCAGAAAGGCGGCTGGACTTTGGCCCAGACGGAGGACCCACCTAAGTTTTCTGCCCTGGAGATGCTGGAGAATTCGCTGTACAGCCCCACCTGGGAAGGTAGATAGATGTCTGGCAGCAATGGATTGGGGTGAAGAGGTGCTCTTGGGGAGCTATTAATTGGAGTCTACCAAGTCCCTAACCTGCCCCAACGCTCCTTCTCCTTCCTATGTGTTCTTCCAGGATCCCAGTTCTGGGTAACCTCCCAGAAGACCGAGGCTTCTGAACGCTGCGGCTTGCAAGGCTCCTACATACTGAGAGTGGAAACTGAGAAGCTGACCCTCCTGACTTTGGGTGCACAGGGTCAAATCCTGGAGCCGCTCCTTTTCTGGCCTTACACTCTGTTGCGACGCTATGGCAGGGACAAGGTGCACGGGGCTGTCTGGGAGGATGACTGTCAGGGAGGGCTACTGGGTTGAGTAGCTATAGGTGACAATTCCATTCCCAGGTGGTCTCCTTTGTGCAGATACACTAACTTGGTCAAACCTGTGACTCACTTCTTATGACACTCCTAACGTGTTTCCCTCCACACCCTCAGGTAATGTTCTCCTTTGAAGCGGGTCGCCGCTGCCCCTCTGGTCCTGGGACCTTCACTTTCCGGACTTCTCAGGGAAATGACATCTTTCAGGCAGTTGAGGCTGCCATCCAGCAGCAGAAAGCCCAAGGAAAAGTGGGACAGGGACAAGATATCGCCAGAACGGACTCTCATGACGGGGAGACAGAGGGGAAGATAGTTCCCCTTCCTGTTCCCCAGGAACCCATGGGCAGCCCGCCAGCCCTATATGCGGAGCCTTTAGACTCCTTGCGAATTCCCCCAGGTCCTTCTCAGGACCCTCTCTATTCAGACCCCCTAGGCAGCACCCCTGCTGGGGCAGGGGAAGGGGTGCACTCGAAGAAACCTCTCTATTGGGATTTGTATGGGCATGTGCAGCAGCAGTTGGTGAAAACCAAGCTGACAGACGCCAAAGAGGACCCAATCTACGATGAGCCCGAGGGCCTGGTCCCAGCGCCTCCCCGGGGCCTCTATGATCTGCCTCAAGAGCCTAAGGATGCATGGTGGTGCCAGGCTCGGCTGAAGGAAGAGGGCTATGAGCTCCCTTACAACCCTGCCACTGACGACTATGCTGTGCCTCCTCCTCGAAGCTCAAAGCCTGCCCCTGCCCCCAAGCCACAGGGCTTGATCTTTCCTGAATCTGGTACTGCAGGTGGCAGTGGTAACAAAGGCCCCAGCTCAGATACAGCTCTGTACAGCCAGGTCCAGAAAAGTGGGACCTCAGGGGGTTGGGACTGTGGACTCTCTAGAGTAGGGAATGATAGGGTTGGGGTCAAGTCAGAGGGTTCCACCTGAGACAGTTGCTGATAGGAGGTCCATGGGGTGGTAGCATTGAAAAATCAAAGAAACCTGAGGGTGGGAGGGGCCATGGGACCAGGGGAGTCAAGGGATGACCAGTCCAGGCAAGTCGTGGGAGTAGAACAAACAGGGCTGAGGGATAGGCCCTGGGGAGCCCCAGCAGCCCTCAAGATTGGCTAGCTGATGGACGAGGCCTATGGGGGAGGTGCACTGGTCAGTGTGGGTGCCCTTTGGGGAGGCCAGTATGGATCCTTTTCTTGTATTGCTCTTTGCCAGATATATATTTAATTTATAAGACAAATCTCATTAAAGCCAGCTTGTGTTGAAACGGTCTCTGTGTGTAAATAGACACCATGGCGTTATGTGCTGGGAGGTTGTGGAGGGTTCAAGGGAAGAACCAGAAATATGTTGGGGACCATGGAAGGATGAAGGGCCCCAGGGAGGGAAGCCTACAGTGTGGTGATTCAGAGCCTGGGTGGCCACAGCCTCACCTGGGCTGGTCTCTGTCTGGGTGACTCTGGGTCACTTGTCTGTCACCAACAGTTCTTAACTCTCCTCTGCTGTCCTTACACCAAGTGTGAGAATTTGGCTCTGCTTCAAAAGACCGCTTGGGTGAAATAGATACACTTCCCAAGCACTTAGTGTAATCTAAAGCACTTTACAAATGGCAGCCATTGTTCTGTAGTTCAACGGAGCTGACTGGAAGGTAGGCAGGTGTGGGGAGAGGAGAGGAGGAAGGAGGGAATGAGGTTCTTTCACATCACCCACTCTCCTCTGCTGGGCTGCATAGCTGCACCCTGCCCTCAGCATACACATCTGCTGGCTCACAGACCTGAGTGCTGAGAGGCGTTCAGGAGTGCTCAGCTTCTGTGTCTGAAGCTCAGGGGAACTGCTGCGGGTGGTCTGTGAAGGGTACCCTTCTGGACCAGGCTTCTGATGTCTTGCTTTTCCTTGAGCTATGAAAACCTTATCTTTATTCTTGAGCTGTAGTTTCCCAAAGGTGACTTGACCTCATCCACCTTCCAACACAGAGCCACAGGAAGAAACTCTGGCCTAGGAATGCTCTGAACAATGGAGGAGGCTTACTGGGCATTTAATTATTTGTGTGAATACTATCAAATGATCCAAAAGAGAGTCCCTGCTGAACAAAAGACAGGCCTGGGCGTGTTTCTTTCAGTGCCCACCCTCACTCCCCCTGGGCAAGTGTCAGAGGAGGAAGAGGCTATTTCTTAGCCTGAGCTCACTCACAGGCACAGGTTGAGAGCAGGCAGACCTGCCTCCAGGCAGCCATTGTGTGAGTGGTGTAGTATGTTCTGGCCCTGGGGACTTAGGTCTGAGAAGGATACTGTTTAGCAACCTTCAGATGCTCCATCTCCTGTCACACACACACACACAGCTGCTTCTGCTGGACCTGTTCCTCTGACCTATCCTCAGATGGCTCCATAGACCCTGGACAGCAGGAAACAGCCAACTCTCCTAAGACCAGACAAACATCCCCCATACCCATTCTTCTAGGTTCCCCCCTAAAGTCACGTCGCCCCCAATGCCAGCAGGAAGTAGCCAGATATCACGACCACCCTATTCCTGCTTCGCCGTCGCCTCTTTCTAATTTTTCTTTTTTAATTAAACCAAAATGTTGTTTGTATTCTGTCTAAACTCCACCTCTTACTTCTCTCCCTCTCTCTCTCTCTCTCTCTCTCTCTCTCTCTCTCTCTCTCTCTCTCTTTCTCTCTCTCTGCCTCTACTACCCTCCTGGCTCCCCTCCCCATGCCCTGAATAAACTCTATTCTATGCTATATGGGTGTGTGACTGGTCCCTCAGGGGGAAGAGATGCCTCGGCATGGGCCTGCTGAGACAACCCCTTCCATCAGATACTCCTCCTCCGAATCAGAAGGCAGTTTGAAGGTTCCTGAGGAAGCTTTGCCAGCTGTTGACTTCTTCAGAGCTCTACATGGAGCAGGAGCCACTGGTAGGGGAACCACTGTGGCTCGGGCTCTGTTGGTCTGCAGCTGACTCCCCTGCAAAGAACAACCAGAGTTTTCTATGAAGACCAGACAGTTCCTGAGTTCCTGTCTCGGTTCCCTGCCAGACTCTGCTCCTAATTTCTTCCCAAATCTCATTTCTGGAGTGATACCCTGAAGACCCAGGGCAGTCTCTACAGTATCATCTCCTTGGCCAGTGTCCTTTCTTTCTTCCTTTCTTCCTTTCTTCCTTCCTTTCTTTCTTTCTTTCTTTCTTTCTTTCTTTCTTTCTTTCTTTCTTTCTTCCTTCCTTCCTTCCTTCCTTCCTTCCTTCCTCCCTTTCTTTCTTTCTTTCTTTTTTTTTGAGACAGGGTTTCTCTGTATAGCCTTGGCTGTACTGGAACTCACTCTGTAGACCAGGCTGGCCTCGAACTCAGAAATTTGCCTGCCTCTGCCTCCCAAGTGCTAGGATTAAAGGTGTGTGCCACCACCGCTGGCAGACAGTGTCCTTTCTGTCAGCTGGCCTACCAATCCCTTGTGGTGGGCTCTGCACCTATTCATCTGGTCATTGCTTCTACCACTGGAGTTTAGAAACATCCTTCTGCAGTTTTAGCTGAGATGAAAATGTGCTCCGTTACAGAGCGGCCAGGAAGGCATTGAAGGAAGCCTGAGTACAATAGACCATGGATCACATAGAGACAGCTCATCTCCAGTTGCTCTTCTGATTGATCTCTCGCGCACTTCCTTCTTCTTTTTTTTGGACAGGTCTTGCTGTAACCTAAGTTGGCTTCAAATCTAGAGCAATCCTCCCAACTTAGCTCTCTGAGTGCTGGAATTACAGGTGTGAACCACCGTGCTTGGCTTCTAGTTTCAAGCCTTTTCTATAAAGCCCCATTCTAAGGTTACTAGCCCAGGTTGGGAGGGTGAGGGTGGGGGTGGAGAAGCTGTCTCCTCATCTGTACTCAGTGTGAGGCTTCTCTTCCTGGTGCTGTGAAGTGTAAATGAACACTATCTGAAGCTTACTAGAAAGCCTGGCAAGCTACAATCCTTTCCTTCCCTTTCCCTTTCCTTCAAGGAGAGGATTGTAGTTGTAGTTCCAGTGTGGCCTGTTTGCTTAACAAGACAGCAGGGTGGTAGATGACTAAGAGGTATAAACCCCACAGTTAGAATACCTAAGCTGCAGGGTGTGATGGTGTGAGCCATATCCATCCTCCAACATACCACACACACACAACCACACACACACACAAAACCACACATACAGACACACATACAACCACACACCACCACACACACACACCACACACACACACACACACACACACACACTCACAGGCACACACACACACACACACACACACACACACAGACACACACACACACAATCAGGAGGTTGGAGCAGGTAAATGGCAAACTCTGGATCAGTTTGGGCTACACTGCTACACCATGAGACCGGATCTCAGGAAAACAAAAACAGAACCAGAACCAAAACCAAAAGCAACGACCAACCCTCTCCACCTCTGCGCTACTGCATGTGACTGCCTCAGCACGTTCTTTCTCCTACCTCAGCTTGGTTTCCCCTCTACTTGTGGGGTGTGGGGAGTGGGCTGCTCTCTTGGGTTCCAGGCTGTTGGGGAGTAGATACAAAGGGCTCCTTTGGACTCAGGGCACAAAGGGGATGGGAGGCTAGAGGGAAGGTGGGGACAGGAGAGAGGTACCTTTCTAAGGCCCCGGCTTGCCCAGCTTTTTGTGTAGAGCCGTCCATGAGGCTTGGCGTGGGCGCTGCTCAGCTGTGAGTACAGGTGGCTCCCTACTTGTAGAGGGTTGTAGGTGAGCCCCAGATCCAGGCTGTCTAGTGTGCCCTGGGGAAGAGAGGAGGGACTTTATTCAGGGAACTCAAGGTCACAGAACACCAGATGCCACATACAGACCTGAGTGTGTGAGAGGCTGGAAGAGGGTGAGGACACCAGGTGCTGTTGAAGCTGAGACACATGAGTCCTACTGGTGTTCTGTCCCAGGAGGGTGTGCTTGTGTCAGGCGAAGGGACAGAAGTAGGTGGAACTCCTGGTGGTCAGAGACTCTGAACCCCATAATATTAGCCCCAGGAAATGTCACTGGGTTCTGAGAAAACCCAGAACCCTGCAGAGAGGGACAAGGTGTCCAGTGTGGCGTGCTGAGGGTGAATGTGTCTTCAGGTTATATGGCAGGGTAGGGGTGCTCCAGGCCTCAAGACGAGTACAGGGAGTTCCCAGCCTGAGGTGAGTCGGGCACAGAAGGAGGACATTTGAACACAGCATTCCTGAGTAGTTAGGTTTTCCGGCCACAACATCCTGTGCCAGGAACCACTGGCCCTGAAGTGAGACTGGCCGAGGAAGCCATGCCTCTTTGCATGCCCATGGCTGCCAAGCATCAAGCACAATCCCAGGCTCTGTCTTGCCTGCTCCTCAGCCAGCCAGCAGTGAATGTGGCTTCCATTCTCCCAGTCCAGAGCCTCCTCCTCTCCACCCCTACCTGGGGGACCTAGGGGAAGGAAAGACAGAATCTAGACAGTGAGGAGCAAGGACGGAGGAGTGGAGAAAAGGGAAAAGGCGGGGTTGGGGGCCAGGGTTGAAGAAGGCTGCCTCCCGGCCTGTTGGCTTCTCTGCATCTGAGTGTCAGACTTCTTTCATTCCTTTTCCCCAGCAGAGGCCCAGAGCACAGACATACACACGTATTAGAGGAGCACAGTGTGACACAGCACACAGTGTGGCTCAGATGGAGCCACAGACATGCTGCCGTCTGTCTAGAGGCTTTGCACACACACATTGGAGCACCGTACCAAACACTCGGAGACATGAAAATCCACCCACATCTTCCCCTTGGGCATCTCCCTTATGCCCACCGTTTCTTTGTTCCTCTGCCTCCCACTGTCTCCTTCCAGCCCTTCCTCCCTAATGGACTCCTCTCTTCTGTGCAACTTCATGGTTTCCTCAAGGTAGAAGTACAGATGAGAGGAGGGAGTGCTCCAGAGCAAACCAAACCAATCAAATTTACCACCTGGACCTGGACTGCCTGTCCGAATTTCCTCCCCTGCCTGCTGTCAGCTTCCCCTTCTGGGACTCTGGCTCCTTTTTCTTTGTAGCTAGCTAACTGTTGGCGTTCATTTACATCAGATCTCAGGAGTACATGCACCTGCATATGTGCATATGATTATGTGGGTGTGGACGATTTGGGGATCATCTCTAAGACGGATGACACTAATTCCCAATTATTTGCCTATGTCAGGGCCTATTTCTTAACTCTCTCGTCACTAACTTGAGTTCTCTCAAACCAGGGTTGCTTCTCAATTCATTTTTACTGAAATGCCTTAATCAGACCACTTCTTCCCACTTCATTTTCTACCTTGCTTTTCTCTCTGTTGGCCAGAACATACCCCATATCTGGTCTCCGTCTCCCCTCAACCCCCGGCCCTACTTTTCTCCCTCGTCCCTTTCTCCAGATCCATTCTATTTGTCCCATGGTGTAGTGGTTTAAATGAGATCGAGCACCATAGACTCATATTTGCATGCTTAGTCCTTAGTTGTGAATACTTTGGAAACATAAGGAGATGTGGCCTTGTTGGAGGAGGTGAATCACTGGGAATGGGTTTTGAGATTTCAAAAGCCCACATCAGGACCAGTGTCCCTCTGCCTGCTGCCTGAAGATCAGGTTGTAGCTCTCAGCTACTGCTTCAGTGCCACGTGTGCCACTGAGTTTCCCGCCACATTGATAGTGGACTAACCCTCTGAAACTGTAAGCAAGCCCCCAATTAAATGCCTTCTTTTATAAGCAAAGTCACGGTGACGGTGTCTCTCCACAGCAATAGAACACTAAGACACAGAGTCTCTACTTGCCTCTATGATCTTTAGGCTGTCTTCAGGTGGGTCCTCAGAGAGCAGGGGGAAGAAGCCAGGCAGCATCAACTCCCTCGTGGCCACCAGCTTCACCAGCAGTGTGAGAGAGTGAGAAGGTGTGATCACATAGAAGCTGCAGGCAGGGAGATTCTGGTTGTGTCTGGGGATCAGGGGCTCCCCTCTGGCTAACAGCAGCCAGTCTCTTTTCTGCAACAAGGACAGACATCTTCAGTCTTTGGCTTGTTTTGAGGATGACCCCAACTGAAGATTCCAAGATCTCTTTTAGGGGTCAAAAAGGAAAGAGCCATTTTACTTTGGCCTTCGGCCAGGGCAGAGTTACTACTCTTCCTCTCTGGTCTAGAATATGCCAGACAGACTACACAAAAAAAGTTTCAAAAAAGACACAAACTGAGAAATGCTTTTTAACTTGAAGTGGGTTCATTTCAGATAGACTATTAAATGCCATGTGTGGAGTTTGAAAATGACAATCTTATGTATGTTGTATGTGTGTGATTTATTTGTGTGTGTGCTCGTGTGCATGTGCATACGCATATACCATGACATGTGTATGTTAGAGGACAACTTTTGGAAATTGGTCCTTGTCTTCCACCTTGTTGTGGCAGGGTATTTGTTTGTTTGTTTGTTTCTGATGTAAATCTTAGGCTAGTTGACCCACAAGCTTCTGGGCAATCCTCCTATCTCCATCCCTATCTTGCCATAAGAGTGTTGGAATTACAGACGCATGTCACTAGAGCCTGGCTCAGCAGTTAAGGGCACTGGCTGCTCTTCCAGAGGATCTAGGGTTCAACTTCCAGCACCTACATGGTGTCTCACAACCATCTGTAACTCCACTTCAGGGGGATCCAACGTCCCTTCTTCTACCCTCCATGGGTACCAGTCACACAAATGATGTACAGACATGTACAGCTTGTGCAGGCAAAACATCCATACACATAAACTAAAAATGATTAGTGTGCTTGGATGGAACTTGAGTGATCAGGGTTGTGTGGCTAGTGGTTTTACTCGATGAACCATCATCTCTCCTACCTAGATCTTTACCTGCTGGATATGAGCATATTCACCTTTAATCCCCAAACTCAGGAGATAGAGGAAGGAGGATCACAACCTCAAGGCCAGCTTGGCCTATGAATGAGACAAAAACAAACAAAAGAATGATGGGGAAAGCCCCTGAAATACTCAGTGAAGGTTTAAGAAGATGCTGCTTGTGGAGCAAGAAGAGAAAGAGGAACTACGTAGGGGAAAACTTTAGTACAACAAGACAGTGGGTGGGGACAGGGCCCCTGAGATTAACTCAGCCAGTCCACAGGACAAAGTTGAGGTGGCAGGATCCCGGGGCAGTGGCTCTGTGAATGAAGAGCCACTTTGTCACACTGCCACTGAGCTGGTAGAGATTAGCACATGGGCAGAGGGAAGGGACAAGCATTTACAAATGGATTTGTAGACACACCCTTTTTGATGAGATGGAAAGGAGGCAACTTTCTGTGGTGCTTTTCCAAGGAAAACTGCAAATCTCCAGGAAACATGGAGTCAGAATGGTTACAGTCATTAGTAAGTTATGTCCTCTTGCTGATTGAGACCATTAATGACATCTGGCATAAATGTAACAGTTTCCCAGCTACACAAGATGGGGAACAACAGCCCCACACTACTTTTCCCAGTCGAACAAGAGCAATTTGGAAGACAATGGGAAAGGAGACCACCAGTACTGTACAGAAGACAGACAATGGGAAAGGAGAACACCAGTACTGTACAGAAGACAGACAAGGGGAAAGGGGACCATCGGGACGGTGTGGAGCACAGGGGAAGTGACACAGCAGCTAATACCTGCTGGCAGCTTTGTGTGTACACCCAGAGAATCTGCAGCAGGAGATCTGCAGTGAGAGACAGGAGGGAAAGCTCTGTCATCTTAACTCAGTGCCATCAAACCATGTAGCACAGAGCACCGTGGAACAGGGACCACATAGGTGCCTCCAAGAGAGATTATTCTTGTGGTTGGTGATAATGGGCTGAAAATTTTGGAGTATGGTACTTCCTCAATAAAAGCATGGGTGGGGCTGGAGAGATGGCTGAGTGGTTAAGAGCACTGACTGCTCTTCCAGAGGTCCTGAGTTCAATTCCCAGCAACCACATGGTGGCTCACAACCATCTGTAATGGGATCTGATACCCTTTTCTGGTGTGTCTGAAGAGAGAGAGCTAGAGTGTACTCACATACATAAAATAAATAAATAAATCTTTTTTTAAAAAATAAAAGCATTTAATCCCAGCACTTGGGAGGCAGAGGCAGGTGGATTTCTGAGTTCGAGGCCAGCCTGGTCTACAGAGTGAGTTCCAGGACAGCCAGGGCTACACAGAGAAACCCTGTCTCGAAAATCCAAAAATAAATAAATAAACAAATAAAAGCATGGGTGGAGACAGATGATCTGGGCATGAAAAAGTTAACTTTAACTCTACTCATAATCACAATAGTGACTGTGAATATCATCATGATTCGCAGCATTGGAATGCTTCCCTAGCCACAGACACTGTACAAAGAGCACTATAGAGACTTTTAGAAGTTCATATGCTATTATTATTGTGCTTATATCTAGAGATTTTTCTGAAGAACAGATTCAAAATGTGATGCAAAGTCTACTTGAGGCTTCCTGAATCCATCAAGCTGTGAGTGAATAATATTAAAATTATAGTGTGTGTCTGTGTGTGTGCATGTGTGTGTGTGTTGTGTGTGTCAGGGTATTTATTTACCTACTGTGGGAACATAGCCTTGCTAATACTGAGGGGAGATTATGCAATTGCTTGACTTCCATTGGCCAAAGTAACTTCTCATTAGGGTCAAAGTTTCAATCAGTATTGTTTTTTAGTCTTCTCTGAAAACCAGTTCAGGCATTCTTTGTAAGTTTCTTAAATTTTTATTGAGCTGGGAGCTGGAGAGATTGCCCAGTGGTTAGGAGAATCTGCAGAATTGAACATCTGGGTTCTCACAACCTCTGTAACTACAGTTTCAGGGGCCCTAACACCCTCTTTTGACTTCCATGGGCACTAGGCATGCACAAGATGCACACACATGCATGCAGGCAAAACACTTATACAATTTTTTTATTGAATGCCTATTATGTCCCAAGCATTAGGTGTTCAGAGTTCATTGGATACACTCTGTGTCCTATTGGCATTTCTAACGAGTAAGGGAAAGCTTGTAAAGAATGTTCGTCTAAGACTTCATGCGACCCACTCTTCTGACTGGTCTGTTTTTAGAAATGATTGTCCTGTGTCCCATAGCAGCCCTAAGCAAGCTGATAATCTCTACCACCTGCCCAAGCGTGACTTGACTAAGCATGAGATATCTTGCTACTGAGACAATGAGCTAGGGGCTATAACAATGTGACTCTCCCCTTTAAGGAAGAGTCACAGACTTGCTAAGGATCTCTGAGTGTTGCAGGTAATGCCATTTGAACAGCAGGCTCCAAGTTGACTGACTTTGAACTAAGTTTCTGTTAGCTGGCAATTACATAGAAAGGATCACAATTTCAAAAGTCTCTGCTAATGCCGGGACTCTCAGAGGAATAAGAAACGTTTTTGTCCCCTCCCTTTCCTTGGATTTTTGTTGTTGCTGAAAGAATTTTATAGAATGTTTTTAAATTTATGGGCTTGATATAGTAAAGAAGTTGTTACAAAGCTCTGGAAGAGAAGTAAATATTTCCTGATTAGATGACAACTTCCACTGATCTTCCTTCCTAGGAACATCTGGAGAAAGTGAGGAGAGAGGAAGCTTGAACTTTAAGGCTCATATGTTGGATTGTAGATTTCTAGCATCTCCCCCTGGGTAGCGGTTTATGGCACTAGACACTTGAGGTCCACGGCCCAAGCCTAAGTATGGGTTGAATTGTTAGGACAAGCAATTGTGCGTATGTTGGGTGTGGCTAACTGCCACAGCAGGTATCTGAGGCTGAGAAAAAGCAGTACCTGGGGAGCATCTCAAAGACAGCAGCCTTTAGAGTCTTCAAGGGGAACAGTGCTTAACGCCTGGAGTAGACTGCTGAGTTCTTTCTAATATACTTTGACTACTTCTAAGGAAGACAGTGTGAGTTGGATGCTAAGCCTATCAGAAGGAAGATATTCTGCTATGGATGTAAAATGTCTCCTAGAGGCTCAAGTATTGGTGGAGCTGCTTTGGGAGGGAATCTTTAGGAGGTGGGGCCTAGCTGAAGGAAATGGATCAGTAGAGGCTCATGGTCTACTGAAATGGGGTCAAGTGAGCCTCTGCTACTGGGAGTCTCCTTTGCTGAGCACTCTTCCCACCAGGAAGGGCTACATCTCCTCATTCTAAGACAATCTCTCCTCCTCCAAGTCGTTCCTTGTCAGGTATTTGGTCACATCAACAAGAAAGGTAACTATTATACAGTATGTGGACAGATGTCTGTTTATGCTGTGACTGGAGAGTTTGCATTGAATGAGGGTTAGACTTTACAAAGAAGGTGCCTTCTCTTCAGAGCAGGTGTGGACAAGGAAGGTTTGAACGGCGTACCAGACTCCAAGTTCAGCCTGAGTAAGGTCATCCTCCCCCAACTCCCTGCATAGCTTCTATTACTGGAGTTGTGATGGGAGATGTGGCAACCATTGGCTCTCCATCACTCACATGTTTTACTCTCTTCTCTTTACCCATTTTCCAGCCTTCTGTCATTGGTTTGAGGGTGATCGTGTGACCCAAGTTACACCATGAAAGTTTCTGGGTAAGTCTTCTGGAATATTCTGGTAGGTCTTTCTCTTTGTGATAAGATTTAGTCTTAAGGTTTAGCAACCATCCTGGAGCCATGAGGCAACAGGCATAAAAATGATGTCTATCTGCTATGGACGCTGGAGCACAAACATTGAGGTGGGTCCTTGGTTGGTCAATTGCATCAGCCATGAATTAGCTTCTCCCCAGATATCTTGTTATACGAGAAAAACAAGATCTTAAGTATAGGCTGGACTTGGAGGTACACACCCTTAATCCTAACACTTGGAGCAGAAGCAGGTGGATTTCTGTGAGTATAAGGCCAGCCTGGTCTGCATAGCAAGTTCCAGGCCAGCTAGGGCTACACACATGTCTCAGAAAACTTATTTAATTTACAGTTGTGGAGGTTTTCATCTTGTTGCAGCCTAATGATTCATTACAGATACCAAAGAGAAGGAAGAGGATATGGCTACTGAC